TTTTTTGAAAGATAATTACGTTCTTATTGAGTTCTTTGTAGTTTTTTTTAAATGATGCGAATAATTGGTCATTTTAAAAGTATCGCCCGGAGACACCCTCTGTTCGAAACCTTGGTCGCGTATTTTAATTGACCTCCTGATTTTTAAAGTATATATATATATATATATATATATATATATATATATATATATATATATACGTATCCCATGCAAAGATATTATAAGATATGCACCAACAAACGGTGTGTAAGAAAGAGGAACCTTATTTGTTATAAATGGTGTTCCAATAACTTGGGCCGATTTTACACTTAATTCACGTTTAAAATCGGTTCAAGTTATCGGAACACACTTTATTTCCCGAAGGCAAAACTGGACTTAGGACGTTTTTTCTACAAACTTGCTTAGACGATGTGCTTTTTCTTGTAAATCCTATCGCTGTGGGCTAGGGACCTCCTCTGTCTTTGGGCTCTATATCCCAACTTCCCTTCGTCACTATATCTCCTGACGTCATCTACCGGACATCACCTGACACTCGGGACTATCTCAACAAAAAGGTGAAAATCGCCGTTTGTAAGCCAACAACGCCATTGTAATATTTGTCCGAGAAGAAACTCTAAAAGGTTATATAAACACAAAAAAGACATTTCACAAATTAATCCATCAAATGCATTGGTTACCCACCGTAACATGTCTAATCTCAATTTTGAGAAAAAAATGCTACTCTGATCAAAGGAGGAAATAATTGACTACGACGTAAATGTCTAGAGAACGCATTAATCGCAAGGCCATCTACAGTAAATTTGCGCCCTGGGCTCTTACACAATTTCACCATTCTTTGCAGATCTTCTAATATTACAATGTGGAATACCTTCTTATAAAAATGATGCAATCAAAAAGAAAAACACTCAAAATTAATTCGGCTAGATAAAAAAATATCTGAAATTCCCAAGACTCTTCTGTCATTTGTAGTCCCACCCCAACATAACAAATTTTATCCGATGAAGTCCTCAAGGACTAAACGCGTCACAAACCTTTTTCATTCTGTCATACAATTTCCCCATTACTGTTCTTGATATATAAAAATATATATCGTTATCTCATATATACATTTGGCATTCATTGTCAGAAAAATATGCTTCCTCTTGCAGCCTCGAACCGTCAGTGGATCTGAGGTGCCTAGCCGTTCAGCCACGAAGGACTTACGATCAAACAAAGCCCGAATAGAGCATTTTGAACACAAACTCTCGACTGATTGTCGAAATACAGGGGATTTTTTTTTCTGACAAGATTTCTCGAATATTCGGGCCGTAGATGTAGTTGAAGAAAAAATACTGTTTAATGAAAAACAGAGCTTCCACTCGGATATGTGTATCCATCAAAAATAATATTTATACCAAATAAATTATATATATATATATATATATTTATTAAAGACATATTTTATGTTTAACGTTGTTATTTTATAGATACAAGTATTTAAGCAAATGCTCTGTTTATGATAAACAGTATTAAATAACATTTACCGGCCTGAATGTCCGAGAAATTTTTTCATAGAAAATTTTCGTTCTTTGACAGGATTCGAACCTGCATCCTATACGGAACCGTCATATACGCTGACGTGCCTTACCGCTTAGGCTACAAAGAAGCGTTCGGTAGACAAGGTCGAATTTACTGCTTATAAACTCCAATTTTCCATGAATCTCGTACATTCATAACTGCTCTGGCGTATCGAATGTAAACAAATGACGTCATATATTAAGAAATGGACAAGGTCCGACAATTTATTTATTAAAGACATATTTTATGTTTAACGTTGTTATTTTATAGATACAAGTATTTAAGCAAATGCTCTGTTTATGATAAACAGTATTAAATAACATTTACCGGCCTGAATGTCCGAGAAATTTTCATAGAAAATTTTCGTTCTTTGACAGGATTTACTGCTTATAAACTCCAATTTATTCATGGAAAATTGGAGTTTATAAGCAATATATGACGTCATTTGTTTACATTCGATACGCCAGAGCAGTTATGAATGTACGAGATTCATGGAAAATTGGAGTTTATAAGCAGTAAATTCGACCTTGTCTACCGAACGCTTCTTTGTAGCCTAAGCGGTAAGGCACGTCAGCGTATATGACGGTTCCGTATAGGATGCAGGTTCGAATCCTGTCAAAGAACGAAAATTTTCTATGAAAATTTCTCGGACATTCAGGCCGGTAAATGTTATTTATTACTGTTTATCATAAACAGAGCATTTGCTTAAATACTTGTATCTATAAAATAACAACGTTAAACATAAAATATGTCTTTAATAAATAAATTGTCGGACCTTGTCCATTTCTTAATATATATATATATATATACACTCGTATGCCAAATCTAGTTCAGTCTCACTTATTTTTGAGAAACTCTAAAAGGTTATATAAACACAAAAATGACGTTTTACAAATTAATTTCCAGGTTGTCATAAAATGTTCCAAATATTTTTCTTGATATATAAACATATATATCGTTATCTCATGATCCCTGTTTATAAATTCCAGTTGCGGATCAGTTATTTTAATATCAAGTATAAACAGGGATCATAGCATTCTTCTACAGGTTCGGGGTTAATGTACTTTATTAAGTTTGTTTGCGAAGATGTATTCTCGCCATTTATATCATATCTGTTTTTTGTATGAATGATTCATGTAATGTAAATTGAACTGCACCACATACTTGATATTATAATAACTTATCCGACGTGCGACTTTCGGATAATAATTGTGACATTCCTGTATTTATTGAACAATTTAGTTCATGCCACATTGACTGAAAAACCTACCAGCACAAAAGAATTCTCCTATTACCATATTAGGACAAAAACGCACAATCTTAAAATTTAAAAATGCAACCTCAGCGTAGCGACCGCACGCTCCCCAAAAAAATTCTTACAATTAACAATAACACATTTCTAAAAACATATTTCGGATTACATCTATTCTTTCGTTGTCCTGTTATTACCAGGAAGTAAAAAATAAATCTATTTCCATACCTGATGATGTCTGTATGAACAGATGAAAGCTTGTAAAAAATAAAAAAAGACCTTATGCAACTGGAATTTATAAACAGGGATCGTAACATTCATCTACAGGTTCGGGGTTAATGTACTTTATTAAATTTGTTTGCGAAGATGTATTCTCGCCATTTAAATCATTAACTTCTATATCTGTTTTTTGTATGAATGATTCATGTAATATTTATATACACACACTTTTCACACACACACACACACACATATACTTATATATATATATATATATATATATATATATATATATATATATATATATCAGAACACAAGAAAAATAAATAAAAAGCTTAACCGTAAAAAAAGTGAAATTAATTTTAACTGGCCTAGATGGTAACAGTTTCGAAATAAATATTTTTCCCAGAAATAATGTCGGATTTTTTTTAAAATCGATAAAAAATGTTGTGTTTAAATATGCAAATGAATCAAGCAGATATCGGTTTATAGTAGAGATGTGAATTACTTCGCGCTCAAATTGATAACGTCAATCATTCCGGCTGGGGGCATATTTAATAGATTTCCCCATTTCGAGTGGTTATATTCATTTCACTGATTAAGAAAATAAAAAACAAGAATTTCAACTCAAACTGGTGTAACCACAAAAAAAAACGTATATATATATATGATAGAAGGATGATTAGGAGGATTTGAGATAATTATAATAAAGTACTTCATCGAGTCTAGAAGAAACCTCAACAGAATGGAGAAAGCCTGGACTCGGTGGCGATGAGCTAGTGAATATGTGATCGAGCGGCGCTATATCGATTCTGATTCGTTACCTCATCGTCATCGAGGCTCGTTGGAACAGTTGGTATGATAATTGCCTGATAACGCTACTGTCCGCGTTTCAATTCTCGGTAGTGGATGCGCACTGCTGATGAGTCCCAAATATAGAACGAAACGGCCGTCCAGTGCTTTCATTCTAGACTCGAGGAATTACTTAATTATATATGTATATGCATGTTTCATTAAATAATATAGACAAGTGTTGTCTATTTATTTTATGTAAATTCTTTTCCTATTGTCTGATATGCTTAATAACATTATCATTATGAAAGAATAAAATGAAGAAAGAAAATCACAATATTGATACATATTTTTTAATCCTATCTAAGCTTTCGGATTACATAAGCCATTATCAAAGACGACAATTATATTACAATATATTAAGCAATACACGGACAATACAGTGATGATAGTCTGTTTCTGTTTACATGAAAGTTTTCCAAGCAACGACAAACTCGTGCATATAAAACGCTAGAAGTGAAAATCGCGTCGCACCTCATGACGTCACACATGACCACGCGAGAGTGAAAACGAGAAGTATTAAGTATGGGAAGCCGTTGGTATAAACCAATGGATTCTGTTACCAATTATAGGCATTTAAGAATATTTGTGGAGATTTCATAGTTTATTTTGTTCAGGTTAGGTTTCATCTGTTTTATGTATAGAGCTTCAAGAATTTTTAGTTTTTGTTTATTTTTTTCATGTTTATTATTTTTCATATATGATTAAATATAATTTTAAGCTATGCTGTATTTATGAGTTGAATTGCTTAATATCAGTTATAGAGCATATGTAAATATAAAAGTGGACATTGACGTCAACACCCAGCGGCGACAGTCTATTTCATACTTAAATGCAATCGCCAGGCCATGTGCACCGTGACTTGGCTTGACTATTTATATATGCTAGCCAGTGATGCATTATGGGTAGGTCTATTGTTCTAAGGGTTATTGGCTAGCCAGCATATATGAATAACCGATCTATCTATCTATCTATCTATCTATCTATGTGTGTGCTTGTGTCTGTGTACGTGTGTGTGTGTGTGTCTGTGCGTGTGTGTCTACTTGTTGTACTGAAGTCGGAAGATGGTTAGTGAAACGCCTGCTGAGAGTACTAGTCGCGTTTCCAAAATATTCTGCTCACGGCCATATGATGTTGAAACAGTGGTGCCCTTACGATCACCGAAGTTAAGCAACGTCATACCTGGTCGTACCTTGATAGGTGACCACTTGGGAATGTCAAGTGCTGTAAGCTTGGATGTACGGCTGATGTAATAGATATTGACACGGAATTGTTAATCGGAGAGCCGAGTTCAATTCCAATTGGGCTCGTTATATTCACTAACGCGCAAATACCACTTGGAAAAGTATGAATCCACTTCTTATGCCCCCAACTATGGGCTAATTAGTAAGACTAAGAAAGCCCAGGTGACAAAACAGTTTACATAGATTTCTGGTGACACATTCTTACTGCTTTTCTCATTAGGTTCCATTATGAAAAGTCTAAGCATCTACTCTTAGTAAAACCTAGAATAGAAAGCTATATGAAGGATCAGGTTAAAGCCAACAATCTTGAGATAAACTTTGTTCACCTTCTGAATGGTTATGGTAGATTTGAGCCTTATTAAGCATTCAAAAGGTAATTCTGTTGGAAATATAATGATTCTGGGAATTAATACATCCGTGAAGCATGAAAGACGTTCGAACTTATAGTTGAAGCTTGTTGGGAGAAACACCAGGCAGCTCAATAAAATTTTAAAAAACCAGGTGGCTTTTGAGCAGTCTCCAAGATTGAGTTATGCAGTTGAACCTTTGCCATTATTTCTTTAGCTGCATTATTCTTTCTAACAAGACAGCCTTCCTTACAAAATCAATCGTAGTTCCTGCCGTTTGGGAACATTTTAAAATTTACAAATAACAGGTTTGACGCTGAAAATTTTAGATATTTTTTTGTCTGAAATTTGATGCGGGGGAGCGCAACGTTTTATAAACAAAACAGAAAAAATACATTTTAGAGTTCTTTTCGTTTGCATAAAAAAAAGTTAATTTAACAAAAATTGATCTCCTCTAACCTACAGGGATATTGAAAGAGTCAACACCATCTTTTTCGGATCAAGTTACTCCCAGAAAGCAAATTACATCCAAGAGTGAGAATGTTTACTTGCAATGCAAATTATAAAGGTTACAAACTAATTCTACTTCCTGTGACATTCATTGATTTCGTATGTCAAAATTTTATTTTCATTGACCTCAGATGCCAAATTCGACCTCCGTTGACCGCGGATATCAAATTTAACCTCACGTTTTTACATGTTTGCTTTTAATAGCGAACTCAATATCTCACTTCATTTTACTTCAAATTGCTTTATTTGGCCAAAAAGGGCATACTGTGCTCATTGATGACATTTGACAAGCCTGAATGACCTCAGAGGTCAAATGCAAATTGCAGATATCCATGTAAAAAACGGATCACAGGGACTTTTTGTTTGACTACAATGTCAAAACCCACACACGCATACAAACTGAGGTTCTGTTAAATATATATATATATATATATATATATATATATATATATTTTTTTTTCTGAGATGAGGTATTATGTACACTATTTACATTATTCGGACTATTGTCCTCATCTCTGTCGCCATGTTTATCACAACGCTTCGGCTATTGTGCGCTCCGGCCTTCTTCAAGTGGTTGAAATGTCGAACTAAATCCTTTATTTCGTTCACTGGGGTAGACTGTTCTCGTTCCGCGTGCCATGTCAGATAACTGACATCCATTAGGCATGGCACGTGGAACGAGAAAAGTCTACTCCACTGAGCGAAATGAACGCTTCAGTTCGACATTCCAACCACTCGTTTGAATCGAAATTTTAGGTCAACGTAACCTGAATTTAGGCTAACTTATCCACACACAAGAACCATATTCGCGAAATATTCATTTAGAAAAAAATCCTTAAATATAATAAATACAAAATGTCTAGTTTTTAACTCTGTGTGTGTGTGTGTGTGTGTGTGTGTGTGTGTGTGTGTGTGTGTGTGTGTGTGTGTGTGTGTGTGTGTGTGCTGGGTTATATGCGCATATGTCTTTATATATGTGTTTGTGTGCACACGTAGACTTCAAGCATATACTAATAATTAGAACATACATAAACTGGCTGGTTTTAACAATGTTTACGCACATTATTTATAACAACTTTGGTTCTAATTTGAAAAATCTAATTAAGATCTTTCATAATAAATTAATGTAATTCTTGTAATTGCAAAAATAATTCTCAATTGAACAAGACAGAATGTCAACCCAGTTTATCAATCTGCTTTTCTAACCATTTTAAACATTTTAACTAAAACGTGATTTTTCAACCAGTGTTTCACAAATGGGAGACAATTGGGTGGGGGTCCAAATAGAGAGAAATATTTTAAGCAGGGTTCGGGAGGATTGGGAAGAATTTAAATCGTATATATATATATATATATATATATATATATATATATAAATATATTAAGTAATATCTTATCATTGATTGCACAACTACATATATATATATATATATATATATATATGTATATATATATATATATATATATATATATATATATATATATATATATATATTTGTATACGAACGCTGACTCATACATTTACCCATATTTATAAAATTTAGTAATATATATATATATATATATATATATATATATATATATATATATATATATATATATATATAATATTTTTTTGTTTAAAAATATGATTCCTATTTAATTCGGGTGAAAATAAAGACAAAAATTGTCCAACGTTTTCTGAGCGGTTATACGGACATTTTAGCAAAGATATCCACTCTTAAGATGGCTCATGTGAGATGAAAGCTTAGATCAAGCACCAACTTTATAAAAATAGTCAAATGTTAGACAATTTTTGTCTTTATTTTAACCCGAAAGCAGACATTCGAACATTAGAACGGCTCATGATCAGACATAATAGACATTCATTCTCTGTTATATTTAATAATATACGTTTAAATATATGTGCGTGTGTGAGAGAGAGGTGTGTGTGTGTGTGTATGTGTGTGTGCGTGTGTATTAGTGAGAGAGAGAAGGTTAAGGGTGAAAAGAAAAAGGTTTATATTACCTCGTCCTTTCAGAATTACTTTTCGGGAGTTTATTATATTTCTTGAGTTTTAATTAAATTCGGTTATTACGTTACGTTAGAAGAGAAGTTAGGATATTTGTGTCGCATCAATCACTCGACTGAAGAAAGCCTTCCTACTTGCATCTCTACCTTGAATATTACTTTTAGAAATCCTGACTTTCCCAAGGTTCGGACACTATCCCTAAATAGAATTTATTAGAAAAATATTTCATAAGCTGATCATGTAATTTTGAAAAGAGAAGACTATCTTATAATGGGTCAAAACAAATAATGGTAACGTTTTAAGTGGATTTCAGATACAATATTTAAATATTTGTATATAAGTTTATTCAATCATATATGTACCTTTTTGTTCAACTAAACCCTGGCAGATTCATAATTCCCTCATCTCATAATTTGGCATCTTTCTGGGTTTGAGCTGCTCTAAGTGGTTTTTACAGGCTTCCAGAAAATTGAAGTTCTTTCCATAATAATTTTGTAAAGATCGAAATAAGTGGCAATCTGAAGGTGCAAGGTCACGTGAGTATGGTGGGTGTGGCAGGGCTTCCCAGACAGCTGTACCAATTTCTGTCGGTCGGGTCTACAAAAAGACATGAAATGGTGTCGACCTGACGATAGACAACACATTTCCTATTGCCTAATACCATGCACTTTTCATCGATTGCTTTCTTTAATCGACCCGGCGGGGTAGAATCATTTTCTGAATTGATTTGATTGTTTAACGGCATATCAACACTTTATGGGTCATTTAATGGCGATTTTTTTTCTTTGGAGTTTTGAAGTCATGAAAATGTTATTCTGTTTTCACAATTTAATAAATGGTAGATGATACTCAGCTTTAGCGCATATACATGTTTGTTGGAACATAATTACTAGAGGCAGTGATATGTGTGTTTTATGTTGTAGTTTTGTTAAAGCTATATTTTGGAATACAGTTTGATTTCTTTAAGTAATTTTAGAATATTATAATTAATGTCATGAAAGAGTTCTTTCATGAAATTTGGGTTGATGTATTGTTGCTATTTTTACTATAAATATATATTGTTGCTAATTTTATTATAAATATATATTGTTGCTAATTTTACTATAAATATGTATCGTTGCAAATTTTACTATAAATATATATTGTTGCTAATTTTATTATAAATATATATTGTTGCTAATTTTACTATAAATATGTATCGTTGCAAATTTTACTATAAATATATATTGTGGCTAATTTTACTATAAATATGTATTGTTGCTAATTTTACTATAAATATGTATTGTTGCTAATTTTACTATAAATATATATTGTCGCTAATTTTACTATAAATATATATTGTGACTAATTTTACTATAAATATATATTGTGACTAATTTTACTATAAATATGTATTGTTTGTAATTTTTATATAAAGTTGTATTGCTGGTATTTTACTATAAAAATGATCTTTTATACTTTCATATTGTCTTGTTTTTGTTTGGGGGTTCACTATTTGCTTTGAGACCCTAACAGGTGCTACCAATCAGGTTCAGGGTGCATCCGGGTAAAACAGCAATTAAGAAGTTGTTCCACCTCCAATCTCCCGATCAGAAGCCTTGCTGTTGGATGTAGTTTATCGTCATACCCAGAACGAATTATCTGAATTGAACTTCTGGTTTCGCGAAAAGAGAACGTAATAAACAATGTGCTTTCAATCCCATCAAAGACACAACATCACAGGGGCAAAACTTGTTTGGAGAGCAGTGATTTCGCTTTTTTTTTTTCAGGAACTTTTGGCTCCACATTATCGTAAATAATATATTTTTATAGCCGGTGGTCGTTCATTTAAAAAATTAAATCGTTTTTGTTGCATTTTAGTAGAGAACCGCAGATGGGAATGCGGTCCATTCATTTTTTCCGGCACCCAAATATCGTAGTGATTTACATATTCAAATGTTTTAAATACCCGAGAACGTTCATATGAGATATATGGAGTATCTCCGCGATGTCGTGTGGCCTGGATTATTTTTAATTTATCGTTCGATTTGGCCATCAACAACTACAGTCTTGCTGGAATATTCGCAATTTTGCAGATCAAGATTTTCACTTCTGAACCTAGAGAATTGCTTATGAACA